CCGACAGTATCATTTATATATTAAAAAACATTCAGGTCTCAATACTTTAGCCATCAATGCTCCTTAGATCTAAATGTTTCTTATTAAAAATGCTAAAAGCTGCTAAACCATTTAAAAACAGAATTTTAACAAAACAAACATATGCAATTTTTATGCTTCAGCTTTGCATTTTTGCTTTGAACCTTGGAGGCAAATAGGAGTGCATTTCTAAACACAAGATTTCTCCTGACTGCCAGAAGATTTATACCCCCAGCTCCCAACAGAACCAGTAAATGTGATGTGTCAGTAATTACAGACACTGTGTGTGCTGATCCCAAACTGGCATCGACAGACAAATCTCCTGCAAGCAACAATCACTGCAATCGGCCACATTATATTAACATGCTCAGTTCCCTACTAGCAATACATAGCGTCCGCTTTATCAATACAAGTTTTAATGCCAACCGTGGGCTATTCAAATACATTAAAGATATATTGTAGCAAAATTGTCAAAAACAAGTTTTAAAAAGCGAGCGACATTAGTGGGCCATTTATAAAGACATTCGCCATTACAGCGCTATAATGGTAGGAGGTACCAAGTACTGTAATTGTGGGTGATTTCAGTGGGATTAGGGAGGGCTAGAGTGAGCAGGACTTAAAGGTGGGTAGTACAGCATAATAAAGGTAGGTACTGTCTAACCCTGTACCCTAAAGCTTTAAGAACACTCCGAGCACCATAACCACTACAGTTTACTGTAATTGTAAGTAGTCAAGTTGATTCTTACCAGGGTTCCGCCGATCACGCTCACCACCTTCTCTATTGCTGAGAGAAGGAAGCTCTGCATTGCAGGGCTGAGCTCAGACATAGAGCTTTGTGTCCCCAACAAGCTGCAGTATTACGGAGCTTCGTGGGTTCCCTTAACCTTATTTCTCTAATTCTTAGCCGCCTAACTGTAACCAATAATACTTATCACCCACAACTCTAAAATTAACCCTTTATTACAAATATTCACGAGTGTGAAATTATTAATTTACAGAAGGGATGTGTGTACACTGAATAATCTCCTGACAGAAGTAGGAGAACTGTTTATAGAAATATATAACATTCCATTGGAGAAACAAATATCCTGTCCCATGTAATAACCTCTCCTCTAATTATTCCTATAGAAACTTCATATAACTACGCCTCTAACTGCTTCTATACCCCTCCTTCTAACCCCTCCCCTAACTGCCCCAATATCCGCTCCTTATCACTCCTCCCCTAACTGCCCTTATATCCGCTCTTTATAACCCCTCTCCTGTCCCAAATCCGCTCCTTATAACCCCTCCTCTAATTATTCCTATACCAACTTCATATAACTACGTCTCTAACTGCTTCTATACCCCTCCTTCTAACCCCTCCCCTAACTGCCCCAATATCCGCTCCTTATCACTCCTCCCCTAACTGCCCTTATATCCGCTCTTTATAACCCCTCTCCTGTCCCAAATCCGCTCCTTATAACCCCTCCTCTAATTATTCCTATACCAACTTCATATAACTACGTCTCTAACTGCTTCTATACCCCTCCTTCTAACGCCTCCCGTTACTACCCCTATATCCGCTCCTAATAACCCCTCCTCTAATTGCTTCTACGCCCACTCCCTACAACTGCTCCTCTACCTGCTCCTAAACCCACTTCCTATAATTCCTCGTCTAACAGCTTCTACGCCCACCCTCTATAACTCTACCTCTAACTGCTCCTATACCCACTCCCTATAACTCCTCTAACTGTTCCTATACCCACTCCCTATAACTCCTCTAACTGCTCCTATACGCACTCCCTATAACTCCACCTCCAACTGCTCCTATACCCACTCCCTATAACCCCACCTCTAACTGCTCCTATACCCACTCCCTATAACTCCCCCTCTAACTGCCCCTATACCCACTCTATATAACTCCTCTAACTGCTCCTATATCCGCTCCCTATAACTCCTCCTCTAACTGCTCCTATACCCTCTCCCTATAACTCCACCTCTAACTGTTCCTATACCCACTCCCTATAACTCCTCCTCTAAATGAAGGCTGAACTTGATGGACGCAAGTTTCTTTTCAGCTATGTAACTATGTAACTGCTCCTATACCAACTCTCTATAACTCCTCCTCTAACTGTTCCTATACCCACTCCCAATAACTCCACCTCTAACTGTTCCTATACCCACTCTCTATAACTCATCCTCTAACTATTCCTATACTCACTCCCTATAACCCCTCTAACTGCTCCTATACCCACTCTCTATACCTCCACCTCTAACTGCTCCTATACCCACTCTCTATAACTCCACCTCTAACTGTTCCTATACCCACTCTCTATAACTCATCCTCTAACTATTCCTATACTCACTCCCTATAACCCCTCTAACTGCTCCTATACCCACTCTCTATACCTCCACCTCTAACTGCTCCTATACCCACTCTCTATAACTCCACCTCTAACTGCTCCTATACCCACTCCCTATAACTCCTCCTCTAACTGCTCCTA